ACTTTTCTGGGTGTTAGGAATACAACACTAGTCCTTGCCTTCATGAAGCTTACATCCAGAGGAAAGCAGATAATAATATAAACAAATTAATGTGTGCTATAATATCAGATAAATTAATGTTGTGAAGAAAAATAAAGGTAAGGGTAAAGTGTGATAGGGGTGTTATTTAGGTACGGTTTTCAGAAAAGGACTCTCCAATCCCTGGCCAGTGTGGCCCAGCTGATTGGGTGTTGTCTGTGCACCAAAGCTTGCCAGTTTGATTCCTGGTTAGAGCACCCCAATTATGGGCTCTCCCCGGTAGGGAGGGTATAAAGGAGACAGCCAATCAATGTTTCTCTCTCTCTTCTTCTCCCTTCCTTTCTCTAAAAATCAATTAAAAATCTCGCTCTGACTGGTTTGCCTCAGTGGATGGAGCGTCGGCCTGCGGACTGAAGGGTCCCAGGTTCGATTCCGGTCAAGGGCATGTACCTTGGTTGCAGGCACATCCCCAGTAGGGGGTGTGCAGGAGGCAGCCGATGTTTCTCTCTCAATTGACGTTTCTAACTCTCTATTCCTCTCTCTTCCTCTCTGTAAAAAAATCAATAAAAATATATTTTAAAAAATAAATAAAAATCAATTAAAAATCTTGAGAAAAACAAACATAAAATGAATGAATGAATCAATGAATTGAAAAGGCTCTCCAAGACACAACCAAAAGGAAAAATCAACCTAAAAAGGAAAATCTGTTTTGAGAAAAGGTCATGTAAGTAAAACAACAGAAGTGTACCAATTACTAGTAAATTCAAGGTAGGATATTCTTTTTACGCCACTCATATTCCAAAGCAATGGCTCACTAAGGAGCCAGTACTGAAGGTTCTCCATAGTGGCATATACAAATTGCCAGGCACCCTCAACCTAATCCATTACTTATTAATGTGACTGGGTACATTTATAAACAAACTCCTTTCTTTCCATAGATTAGGTGGATGTTACACATTACAAATTTCAGTGTTTTATTCCTAAGTTTTCCTAAATCAAAAGCTGAAGACATTAATCAAGAAAGATTCCAGGTTAATTTCAAGTTGATCAAGAAAGATTCCAGATTAATTTCAAGTTACCAAAATTTATCACATATAATCTTCATTCCCTCACTAAAGAGGAACCCTAAACCAATGGGAATAACACACATTTAAAGAAATAATTTATGGGGTAATGCAATACATTCCCCCTTTACTCTCCAAGGACCCTCACTCAGGCTGAGGTAGTGTCAAGCTATTGGAATTATCTTTTCATTGAAAATTGAGTAACTTAAAAATCACATATTCAAAAAACAGAAATGATTTTAACACAGCTTATTCTAAAAACACTTATACCATGAAAAATAAAAATACCACATGCTCTCACTCATTCATGGATAATAGAGACCATTATAAACTTTTGAACAATAATAGATACAGAGGCAGAGCTGCCTCAAACAGATTGTCAAACTGCAGCGGGAAGGCCGGGGAGGGTTGGGGGGCAGGAGGTAGGGGGGTAAGAGATCAACTAAAGGACTTGTATGCATGCATATAAGCATAACCAGTGGACATAAGACACTGGGGGGTAGGGGAGGCTAGGGGACTGTCTAGGGCGGGGGGATAAAATGGACACATATGTAATACCCTTTGTAATACTTTAAGCAATAAATTTAAAAAATAAATAAATAAACCTATAAACTAGAAATAAAAATAAAATAAAATAAAATAAAATAAAATAAAAAAATAAAAACACTTATACCATGAGAAATAAAATCAAACTATCTCCTTTATATAGCAAAATAAGCAATAATTCTAGATTTAAATAGGTTTGAAAGTTTAACTCACAGAAACAAAAATTCAGTTAACTAAATTTCAATTACAAGTTGAGTTTAAAGTTTAGAGGTTTCTGGACAAGCAGCCAGGAGCTATACTCTATGCTGAACTGTGGTAGCACAAGATGTAGATGCTCTTTCCACAGCTCTCTCCACTCCAGCGTGGAGCATCACAATTACAGCCATGGGGGTTGGGGTTCTCTGCTTTACCTGTATGCCTACCATCTCCAAACCCGTTTCCTCATCTAAAATGGAGATAATGCCTGCATAAAGGTCCTGTCAATGAAAAATATCAAAGTATCAATATACAGAAAAACTTTGTAATCTGTAAAGAATGACACCAATATTTGTCATATTTTAGTCAAAAAAAGGAACCAATCACTTTCAAACTTTTCTGATTTCAGCTATTAATGGTTATAGATTCTACAGAAGAAAAGTAGGACACTGGTCCACTCACACACACACAGCCAGATGACTCTTTTTTAAAATTTAGACTTGAACAAGAATTAGACTCTCCTATAAACAAGCACCAAGAGGGAATATTTTTAGCAAACATTTCATTTAAATAAGCCAAAAGAATGAAGCTGTTCAACCACATGTAAACTCTGTGTCATCTAATTTCAGGTAGGATGTTTATTTTTGGTATAGTTGGGAACCAGACACCCAATGCATATAAACATTAGCATATTTTTAAAACAACTGTCTTACTGCCTTTGTTCACTCCGTATTAACTCCCACTATTCTTAGAAGGAAAAAACACAAATAATATCCTTAATCAAAAAAAAACAAAACAAAACTCATCAGAGTTCGTGCTTCTTAAACTAACATTAAACAGTGTTATTTGACAATGAAGTTGTAGACTATTTGCCCACTTACCCTTTAAGCTCCATCAGGACACAGACCTATCTTTTTCTTTGTATCCCTCACCTTTAGGCACCAAGCAGGTTCTCAATAAATATGTGTAGAATGAATGAATGAATGAATGAATGAATGGAGAATGAATGAATGAATGAATGAACGAACGAACTAGTGAACAAACTGGGCCTCTGGACAAAAGCTTCAATGTTTGAAGTTGCAACAGAGCAATTTCACATATGGCCATCATTCACTACAAACAACTACTCTCTCAAGTATAAGACATGTACTAGATATTTAAACACACACCAATATACTACTCACATGTGTAACAGAAGTACATGAAAGATTCATAAGTCCAGTTTTTTAGTTGTATTTTCTCTCAAAAAAATTTGGTGTGTTCTGATATTAAAATATGTTGCAATCTTGATAATGCAAGCACTATCTTTAAAGTTCTGTTGCAATCTTGAATAATTTAGGCAAGGTGAACAGTATTTCCAGAGTCCCACCAACGTATTTTTATTAAAAGTCAAATTCCTAATTGAAAGAAAACTGGAATAAAATGAAAAAAGTAAGATATTACCATTTCAAAATTATTATACTGAATTTTTAAAGAGAAAATAAACTGCTTAAGTTACAATGAAATTATTTATTCAAAAAACCATTTACTGTCCTTATATTTGATCTATAAGCTAATAAGACAAGTTATTTTCCAAATCTTTGAAGCTAGATGATAAACTTTATGCTTACAAAGAGTGAGTTAGAGGTTTTTTTAAAAAGTAAAATTATAGTTTGGATAAGTTCCTTCATAATTCTAAAGTCTACAGCAAAACATTCAGCAATAACATTATAATAAACATTGCATGTATGATTCTACAACACTTGTATAAGCATAATTATCTGGGTGGAACAGGTTTTTTTATGAACAGCAAGGTATGATCTGTGACTGCAATACTATGCGTGCACGGATCAAAAAGTTTCTCAAATTCTGATGGTCATCTTCAAAAAGACTTGAACAAGTCAACCTGAGGGTGAACACAAAAGAACACCAAAGTCAACTCATAAACACTGGTACGAAAACAAGGGCTCTCTATAGCAACTACCCCGTTGCATTTTAAAAACCCAGGGCATATGAAAGATAAAGCTCAATTAACTGCTGGCTGGGTTTCCTACTTTATGGTCTGAATCACTGGATATTAGATAACTTATTTCAGCGCTTTCTTAAACAGAAATTTAGTGTTTCCATTGCCCCTCCTCCACAGCTAACATCAGTGCCCTCTCTTCCTCCTCCCTCACCCCTCCCAGCTCAAACAAATTAACATTTGTACAAGGTGCCTCCTATCAGCTCGCAGCTTCTTCCCAAACACGCCCACGTACACTGAAACTCGCCTGCGTCTACACAACACTCGGCTACAGGAAAGGAGTGGAGGGGGGCTGCGAGGGGCCAGTTCACCCCGCACTGGTTTGCGGCTCTTTCCCGGAGAGGAGCTCCTCACTCGGGGCTCGGGTGGCTCCCCAGCCACCTCCCCAGCACGGTGTTTATGAGCCCTGCTAATCCGATACTGCAATGGAATTCCGGATATTTGCAGACAGATAGCCCGGCTTTGCAAGTGTTTGATCAGAGCGGTCCGGAATCTCCTTTCCATCCGCCCGCTCCGAGCAGGGCAGCCACCCGACCGCGGGCAGCGGCCCCGGCCCCGCACCGCGCTGCGCGCCGGGCCAGAGGCCAGCGCCGCACCGGCCGCTCCGGGTCCGAGGCTGCCGGGCGCCCAGGGCTGCGGCCCGCTCCGCAACAGGTCACCCTGACGGCCGGTGTGCGCTCCGCAGGCGGCCGGCTCGGCGGCCGGGCTTCGGGGGCGCAGCGGCCAGGGCCGGGAGGGGGTGTGGCTCGCTCCGCGGTCCCCGCGCCGCTCACCTGGAGGGAGGCGGAGGCGCCGCTGGGCAGCGCGGGCGGAGGCAGGGGCTTCAGCCACCCGGAGAGGGAAACCCGGCGAGACGGGCTCGGGGGGTCGACTCGCCCCCGGCTCCGAGACAGAGACCGGGCGGTGGGGACCCCGAGGCCCCTCCTGACTCCGAGAGCGAGCCGCCGAGGGGGGTGCGCCCCGGGCCCCCTCCTCCCTCAGCCCCAGTCCGCCGCCCCTTCCCCGCGCAGAGGCCGAGCAGCCCGGGCTGGCGGCCGGGAGTTCACGCCGCCGCCATTCCCCGCGCCGCCGCCGCGGCTCCGCTCTGCTGCGCCCGGGGGACACCGCGCACCCACCTTCCCTCCCCCGCACCGCCTGCCGAGGCTCCGCACCGGGCCCGAGGCCAGCGCACCGACCTGTGCAGCCGTGGCCGTCGCCTCGGAGGATGGAAAGACCCGCCGGCCTCACGCTCCGCCGCCACCGCCGCCTAGGCTAGCGCCCGGCGACCCGACCACTCGGCGTCTCTCATTTAGCGCCCGCCGCCACCGCCGCCGCGGCACTCGGGGGAGGGGAGTGAGCAGGATCCTCCCCGTCCGCCCGGGGCTGGGGGAGGAGAGCCGACCTGGCGGGGACGCGCGCCGAGCGGGCGGGGCGGAGTCGCGCTCGCACACCAACCGAGCGCGCTCGCGCCGGCCCCGTGCGCCGCGGCCGGTGGGGTCTCCCCGCGCGCGCCCCCGCCGGCAGCTTTTCTGCCCGCGGAGCCCAACTGCCGCCCGGCGCCGGTGGCCTCGGCGCGCTCGCGGGAGGGAGGGGCCGCTACCCGCCAAACTTGGGGGCGCGGAGGGGGCGGAGGGCAGGCAGGTGGGGCGCCCCTCCCCGCACCGGCCTTCCACGGAGAAATCCACGGTGCTGTCCGTCGGCGTCAGCGCCGGCACCTCACCTTCAAGGCCAGAGAACAAAGTCTGGAAACCCTTGGCCCCCAGATCAAACGTCCTGCCCGCGCCAGCAGTGTTTTTAGAATTCGCTGCGGGCTGGTGAGGGGGGCTCCGAAAGCGAACACTGCCTTAGGATCCCACAGGATGGTCGTCCGTATGCTCACACATTAACATTCGGACAGTGTTCGAAGCAGCCTTTGCGAGTGTCCTGCACGCTACTGCCCTTGGCTTAATGAGCAAACGGCAGAAATTTGGCATCCCCTGGGTCTCAGATTGATGAGTTGCAGGTGAACAGTATTTCCACGTCAATGCACGGAGATTCTGAAATATTAAATACTTCCAGTGAATGAAAAAGGAATGGATTTGGTATAAATGGTGGAAAGGTGTGGTTTCAGCGGGTGCAGTACATGGGGTGGCCTACTTAAAATTAGCACCACTTGATGCCTTGTGACTAATAAATGGATGGTTTTAAGTGAGCCACCTTTGTACTAGTATACGTAGCCATTAGCCCATTTGCAAATGGATGATTATTTGACGACCTGCAGCTCTTTCGCTAGGCAATGTGCAGTAGCCTGGGGAAGGAATACTGTGTAGTAGCATTGGGTATAAAACATGAACGGACCAAAATTGTTCCCACTTGGTGTCTTTCCTCTCTTTAATAACTACTAAACAGAACTGATTAATTCTGTATATTGAAGACCACTATTTCCTCTTTTGGCTGCCTGTGTCATAGCCCTTTACTAGTACTCTAGTTAGGGAAGCTGGAAAGTCTTTCAACCTCCTCTTAAATAGGGACCCACCCACCCAAAGATAAGTTTAAAAAAGGAAAAAGCAAGGATAGGCAAAGTTCTTGGTTTTTCATTGTTATTCCTACTTTTAAAGAAGGTCTTTAAAAGAATCATGATGAAATCACTGGGAGAAGTAAAGAAACCAAAAGAAGAAAAACAAAACAAAACAAAAAAACAGCTTTCAAATGAGAATAGACTGAAAAAACAAAAAGGAAAACAGGCTATTGACACAAAGTGGGGGGGGAAATGTATTATGTATACAGAAGTTTTCCCATAGATGCTAATTGCTTCAGGTCCCAAAGAAACAAAAGGAAAACAGAATTGGCACTTGGAGGAAAAACCCTTCTAGTTATCAAGTTGAATAAATGTTCAGGTTTTTTTTTTAAGTGTTAGTAAAAGATTAAGAAAACGGGGGTTGGCTGTGTGCCAACAATACTTACAACAATTATACATATATATTTATAAATAATTATAATGGTCTATTTCTTGAGTATATCCCATTATCACTGTTGTTACGAAATAGGAAAACTGAGTAACAACAGGGACTCCTATTTTGTATAAATGTCTTAACAATTACTTTAAACTTGAATTGGGGTTTTATAAAGTAAATGAGCCTGTGTTCCTACATCTGCCAATAATTTTCACAGTTTACTGTAAGAGCAGGGAAATTTCATTTGGTCTTTGAAGAGAAAAAGTCATGTGATTCATGAAGCTAGGCCACGGATATACAAATTCTTATACAGAATGAATTACTGAGTTTGGAATAATTTACTCAAAATCTATTTCTCATGTTGATAATTTGTCAAACAATTTTATTAGCCTTTAGCATTCTGTTAAGTTCACATTTCTGAACTTGATAAAATTAAGAGTTTTGTGTTAAAAATACAGGGAAAAAAGCTCATTCTCTCTTTTTTGGTCATATCTTGAGAATTATTTGAGAAAGTAAATGTCCCTTTAATTCACTGATATGCAAATAAAACAATAGCTTTTTATAATTAGAGAGGACAAGTAGCAATTTTTCCTTATCAGGGCATCTTTTATTACAGGTACATTCTGTAAGTTGCTTTTTGTACTGCATTTGCTTTTGCCAAAAGTCAAAATATATGTAATGTCTTAGTATAACAAAAAGTACTAATGTATAAAATAGAAATGCCATTATGTAAAATAGAATCAATAAGAATTCAATATGCTTAAAAGTTACTTCAGAGGAATCACCATTATGTAGCAGTTTTATTACTATCCATCAAAATTACTTCCAAGGGGTAAGCCAAGAACTAATTTAGATAGAGAACAAGCAGTTTCAAAATCAAGAGACCACCACTGCAAAGAACAACTAATCTCATTATAGCTGCCAAGACAAAATCAAACTGGTATGGCAAGAAAGCGCATTATTTCAGTAACACCTAATTAGTTCTATTACAGCCAACAAAATTTCAATAATAACATGTACCTCTATTATTTCTCTAACCTTGAATCTAGGCATTTTGAGAACATTTTTCAGTTATGTTCTGATTTAAGATATAGGCAAAGTAGTATAACCCAAACCCACTTTTAGGGGAAGGATGCACAGGGGACATTGAAGAGATAGAGAATGTGTGACCCCAAGGTACAAAGTGAGCCAGCCATGATTCCCAGTCAAGGGAGACATGCCAGAGATATTAAGGTACCGAGAACAAAAATAATCACCAGTCCATTCAAATATGAGCATCAACTTTCAAAAAACACAAGACCTTATTTTACAACTGAGCTGTTTCACAAGGGCGACTCTGTAGGGCAGAGATCAGCAAAAATGTATTTACTTAGTAATGGAATAGCTCAGCTAGTGTACAAATAAATGTTTGCATGAACTAGTAACTTTCAATAGTAACTTTCAATATTAACTTTGAAGAAAATTTCAATAATGCCTCATAAGGAAAGGAAGCAGTGAGGGATTGAACATAGATATTCTAGATAACTGAGGTTTTCATCTTAAACACTAGAAACAGTTTACATCACTTGTATTGATTTTTTTTTCTCCTGAAATATCACCAGTTTCTCTGCCTTTGACTAATGAAACACAGTAAAGCTTAACCTATTCCTAAGGACTCAGAGATGTCTTTAAAACAAAAGCTATAATACCAAGATGTCCCCAGGAGCTTGGAAGTACTCAGTACCCTCCATCCTATAATAAACTAGTGGCCTGGTGCACAGATTTGTGCACACTGAAAGGGAAATAATTAGAAGAAATATTTTAATATTGCTATTTGCCCTTTCTCCCTCAGCACCTGGGAGCCTGGCAGCGGCCCCCCCCCCCCCCCCCCACCACCACCACTGGTCACTGTCTGCGGGGCCATCAGCAGGGCAAATGGTCTCCCCCCTGCCCCTCACTGCTCACACTCTCCTTGGCCTGGCGCCACCCACTCACCTGCTCTACCATCCCACCGTGGTCCTGCTCTCATCGGGGCCCATCAGGGCTGGCAGTGCCTCCACTGCTGCCCACTGCCAGCACCGGGTCACCAACACCCACTATGTTCCACACCACCCCCTGGTGGTCAGCACATGTCATAGTGAGTGGTCGAACTCCCAGTCGAACCACTGCCTGAGGGGACAATTTGCATATTAGGTTTTTATTATATAGGATAATCATGTTTCCGCATTCCTTGAGTCTGATTGATCTGGAAGACACCTTCAGGCCTTCCTTTCACATCGCTGCACCTCTGTCATAGCACTACCTGCGTGTGCACACACACACCTCTCTTAGCATGTTAGCCTAGGAAACCAACTCACTAATATTTTAAAATATATGCATATTTATATAAAATGAGAGTAAAGAATCTCAGAAAAGATGCTAAAACAACTCTGATAATTGTGGCATTTCATATAAAGGCCATTTTCCTATTTTCCTCTATATTTTGGATAATTGAGTTTACCAGGTAAGTGAATTCTTTTTGCATCATACTTTCCTTATAAAAATTTTAGGCATTGCTCTTCTTGCTTAATGGAAGGTCAGGATCTTTTTCAATAATGTTCATCAAAGTAGTTTCCTTATATAGCCTGCATTCAAAATAAGGTTAGAATTTATAAAAACACACACAGGACTTCATAAATCCATTCCAGTAATAAATAGAATAGAGAAGAAGGAACTACTCTTGCTTATGGTAGCATGTTGAATGCCAACAGGTACATATGGAGGTTGTGCTGGAGTTGGACAATCATCATTTTGCAACCACTATAGCAAAGATTGGATAAGACAAGAACCACCAATGGATGTTCAATGTAGGGAGAAGTTTTGATGAGGAACAGGATATTTGCACCATCTTAAACTTGTTTCCCACAGACTTCTGATTGGTTGCAAGAAAGGAAAAACTATATTTATAAACTGGAACAGTTGGATAAAACCTTGACCAGGCAATCAAAATTAACATCATGAAGGAGGGATAGATGGACACTGTTTGCCTCAAAATGTGAGTCCCACTGGATACAACATCTAATGAGGAAATGAGAAAACCTAAGGAGGAATCCTATATAATAAAAGCAAACCGACTGAACCGGGAAACTACCAGTCAGCAGGGGGCGGAGCCGGTGAGCGAGTGGTGCCAGGCCAGCAAAGGCAGGTGCCAGTGAGCAGAGGGAGTGGACAGCGATCAGGGGGTGGCAGTGACCAGTGGAAGTGGGGCAAAGGGGGGCAGGGCTGGCCCCTTGCCAGCCGGTGCTGGACTGATTGGCCCACTGGTCGCCTTCCGCAGAGGGAGGCCAGGCTGCAGCTTAGGCCCGCTCCCCTCAGGGCACAGGCAGGGCTGAGGGACTCCCCAAGTGCATGAATTTTCGTGCACTGGGCCTCTAGT